TCTGTGATATCTACAGGCCATATATATCTATATCTGGTCCCGTTTCACTTTGATTACCCTGTCAAACAAGTCAGCCTTCGCCCCTGCGAGCAGCCCTGATCAGAATAGAAAGCCGCTCTTCTCTCCCGCTTTTGAGGAGAGTGAAATAGGCCTAGACCTACTGTGGAGTCGCCTTAAACCGAACACGGTTATTTATTTATTTTTTTAAGCAGCGCTCAACTTAGAAAACGTATGGCCGTCTCAGATAATTCCACCTGTATCATCATCTCATAATTATTTATATTATTTTGTCTTCAGAAAACTGCGCGAACTTTCCCTGTGTGAGATGGTGTCTCAGCCACAGCGGCTGCAGCACCTCAAGTTGAACTCTTTGCCCTCTGACCTCTACCCTTGTCTCCTCACGGAGGCTGTACTGCAGAGACAACTGAAGGCCATAGCCTACCTCGTCTCTACCTGGCCCTTTCCCTTACTGCACGTACAGGTTAGTTTGTTTGGTCTTTTGATTATTGTTGGTTGCTTTCTTGTTCTCTCTCTCTCTATCTCTCTCTCTTTCTCTCTCTCTCTCTCTCTCTCTCTCTCTCTCTCTCTCTTTCTCTCTCTTCCAATCACTCTCCCTCTCTCTGTGTCTGTATGTGTGTGTATGTGTGTGTGTGTATGTGTGTGTGTATGTGTGTGTGTATGTGTGTGTGTGTGTGTGAGAGAGAGAGAGAGAGAGAGAGAGAGAGACAGACAGAGACAGGGACAGAGAGACAGAGAGGCAGAGAGAGACTTACGCACACATGTGAACACACTCAAAGGTTCTTCAAATAAAAATAAAAATATAATAATACCCCCAAAAGACAGGTCACTGAAGCCAATGAACTTTCGCACAAAGCTCGCTTGTGCTAAGATAAGATTAGGAAAAATCACTGTATTGTTCCGTCTAGAGATCTGATCATGAATCTTTTTGACTCATCGAGAGCATAGTGCGTCCAATGGCGAAATAAAAATAACCTTGTTTAATACAGACAAAAGAAGAATCAGGCGTTTTTCCGTTGTTTTTGTTTTTTTTATTTTATTTTATTTCTTTTTCAAACGGTAGAATCTTAAAGCCTGCTCCATTTTCTTGGTTTTTGATGAAAAAAGTACCCATTTATCTTAAACAGAAGCTAAGATAGGGGTGGGGTCACCTGGAGTTGGATGTAAAGTGAGAGAGAAAAAGGCGCCAAAGTTTGGTGACTTCCCAAGCTTGAGTGTCCTTGTAAATTGCAATTGATTTTTATTTGATCAACATATTTAAGTAAATCCACACAGAAATGTATTTTTCAATGGATACAAAAAGATGTTGAGCTTAAAAGAATGCTCAAACGAGCGGGAAAATGTCGGTTTTTTCGATTTCATTATTTTAACGAGCGCCTGACTTAACCACGATGCCACACACATATTGTAGTAACTAACCTATCAGTGTATGGGTTTCAAAAACCCAAACAAAACAAAACAAAAAGTACAGTATATCTGAGATACATTTTTTTTGTTCTGCTAGATACTCTGACGGTGAACGATCATTTTGTCATAGAACGAAAATGTATTATGTTCAACGATGTCGCCAACTAAGAACCAGGCATCTTGAAAAGGTAGCACCGTAACACTGTTCGGACTTACTGCTGGTACATCTTTCAAGTTGAATCTGATCCGAGCTAAGCGAACACACTTTTAAGTTCGCTGGCACTGGAGGTCGTAAGGCGATTACTTCCCCTGATGTTTTTTTTTTCTATACCATAATGTACTTTTGTACATTCCTCAAATACAAAATCTCAGACCTTCACGAAATGCAAATTCGAAACCACGATAGTATTCAAACTGAAACTGACTCGGAATCAGATTATGACTGATGAAAAGGTTAGTTCGGCGGGTGGCGAGAATATTATTATAATACGATATCCGTGAACTTTTTTTTGCGAGCTTTTTTTTTTAAAATCTGCTACCGCTATAGCCTATTGGCACAATAAATTTCGTGACGAGTCCAGGTTCATGAACTGAACAATTCGTGTTAACAATAAACAGAGCTAAGCGTAGACACTTTTACGTTCTCGGCAGTGGAGGTCGTAAGGTGATTACCTCCCCTGATGTTCTTTTAATACCATAATATATCTCCTCTTTAAAAGAAAATTCATAAAGAATTTTTCTTTGGTAAGTTTACGATCTTCGGACATCTTTCAGAGTTTCTTGAGGTTTTAATCTCGGCGGTCTCGGAGGCCTTCTATAAAAGCACATGTCTAGAATATCATCGCTGCCTTGACCCTGCTCGAAAGGAACAATTTGGTTCTATTTGATATGCCAGTAGAAAAACATTCGGTGATATTCGACAAAACGTCCCTCCCTCATGAGAATCGAACTTACGTCATTCATTAATAATGTGTGTATATGTGTGTGTGTGTGTGTGTGTGTGTGTGTGTGTGTGTGTGTGTGTGTGTGTGTGTGTGTGCCTACAAGAGAAAAACTGAATGATGGGGTGGAAAAAAGGGACGGAGTATTTATTTTTCTTTTAATGAAAGAGCAAAAAATCGCAAGTTTATCCTTGGAAAGATATCTATAAAATTCTAGCAACATTTGTAAAGCGCAATAATGTGTTGGTTGTTACAAA